TCATAAGACCCATTGACCCTTATGACCCCCCCCATAAGCTCTTCCCTTATAGCACCCCCCCTTATGACCCCTCCCCCAATATAACCCCTCCCCATTTAGCCCCTCCCCCATGATCCCTGCCCCAGTATGGCCCCTCCCCCCTATCTTTCCCCATTCAGACCCCTCCCCCCATAGAACCCCTCCCCCACTGACCCCACGTGACCCCTCCCCATTCATGCCCCTCCCCCACTGACCCCATGTGACCCCTCTCCATTCATGCCCCTCCCCAACTGACCCCATTTGACCTCTCCCCATTCATGCCCCTCCCCCACTGACCCCGTGAGACCCCTCCCCATTCATGCCCCTCCCCCACTGACCCCACATGACCCCTCCCCCACCGACCCCACGTGACCCCTCCCCATTCATGCCCCTCCCCAACTGACCCCATTTGACCTCTCCCCATTCATGCCCCTCCCCCACTGACCCCGTCTGACCCCTCCCCATTCATGCCCCGCCCCCACTGACCCCACGTGACCCCTCCCCATTCATGCCCCTTCCCCACTGACCCAATGTGACCCCTCCTCATTCATGCCCCTCCCCCACTGACCCCACATGACCCCTCGCCATTCATGCTCCTCCCCCATAGAACCCCTCCTCCACTGACCCCATGTGACCCCTCCCCATTCATGCCCCTCCCCCACTGACCCCACATGACCCCTCCCCATTCGTGCCCCTCCCCCACTGACCCCATGTGACCCCTCCCCATTCATGCCCCTCCCCCACTGACCCCCTTTGACCCCTCCACATTCATGCCCCTCCCCCACTGACCCCGTGAGACCCCTCCACATTCATGCCCCTCCCTCCACAGAACCCCTCCCCCACTGACCGCATGTGACCCCTACACATTCATGCCCCTTCCCCACCGACCCCACGTGACCCCTCCCCATTCATGCCCCTCCCCCACTGACCCCCACACGACCCCTTCCCATTCATGCCCCTCCCCCACTGACCCCACGTGACCCCTCCCCATTCATACCCCTCCCCCCACAAAACCCCTCCCCCAATGACCCCTCCCTCCACAGAGCCCTTCCCCAATGACCCTTCCCCCCAATGACCCCTCCCCCCATAGAACCCCTCCCCCACTGCCCCCACGTGACTCCTCCCCTCCCCCCCCCGCTGACCGGTGCTGTTCTTGCGCTTCTTGCGGTAGCTGCCCAGGATGGCGCGGGGGGAGGTGGCGAGGGCCTGCAGGGTGGGGGAGGGGAGAACCTCCTCGGGCCGGAACTCGGGGAGCTCCGCGAAGCGCTCCTCAAAATCCACCTCCGACAGCACCCTGGGGGGGGGAGGGGAGGGCAGAGAGAGGGGGGTGAATGGAGGGGAAATGGGGGTGAATGGAGGGGAAATGGGGGTGAATGGAGGGGGAGGGGAAATGGGTGAATGGAGGGGGAGGGGAAATGGGGGTAAATGGAGGGGGAGGGGAAATGGGGGGTGAATGGAGGGGGAGGGGAAATGGGGGGTGAATGGATGGGGAGGGGCAATGGGGGGTGAATGGAGGGGGAGGGGAAATGGGGGTAAATGGAGGGGGAGGGAAATGGGGGGTGAATGGAGGGGGAGGGGAAATGGGGTGAATGGAGGGGGAGGGGAAATGGGGTGAATGGAGGGGGAGGGGAAATGGGGTGAATGGAGGGGGAGGGGAAATGGGGGGAAATAGAGGGGGAGGGGAAATGGGGTGAATGGAGGGGGAGGGGAAATGGGGTGAATGGAGGGGGAGGGGAAATGGGGTGAATGGAGGGGGAGGGAAATGGGGTGAATGGAGGGGGAGGGGAAATGGGGGGTGAATGGAGGGGGAGGGGAAATGGGGGGGAAACGGAGGGGAAACGGGGGTGAATGGAGGGGGAGGGGAAATGGGGGTGAATGGAGGGGGAGGGGAAATGGGGTGAATGGAGGGGGAGGGGAAATGGGGGGTGAATGGAGGGGGAGGGGAAATGGGGTGAATGGAGGGGGAGGGGAAATGGGGGTGAATGGAGGGGGAGGGGAAATGGGGGGAAATAGAGGGGGAGGGGAAATGGGGGGTGAATGGAGGGGGAGGGGAAATGGGGGTGAATGGAGGGGGAGGGGAAATGGGGGGTAATGGAGGGGGAGGGGAAATGGGGTGAATGGAGGGGGAGGGGAAATGGGGGTAAATGGAGGGGAGGGGAAATGGGGGGGTGAATGGAGGGGGAGGGAAATGGGGGGTGAATGGAGGGGGAGGGAAATGGGGTAAATGGAGGGGGAGGGGAAATGGGGTAAATGGAGGGGAAACGGGGGTGAATGGAGGGGGAGGGGAAATGGGGTAAATGGAGGGGAAACGGGGGTGAATGGAGGGGGAGGGGAAATGGGGGTGAATGGAGGGGGAGGGGAAATGGGGGTGAATGGAGGGGGAGGGGGAAATGGGGGTAATGGAGGGGGAGGGGAAATGGGGGTAAATGGAGGGGGAGGGGCAAAGGGGGTAAATGGAGAGGGAGGGGCAATGGGTGGGTGAATAGAGGGGGAGGGGCAATGAGGGGTAAATGAAGGGGAGGAGCAATGGGGGGTCAATGGAGGGGGAGGGGCAATGGGGGAGAGAGGGGTCATGAAGAGGGAGGGTTTATAGGAGGAGGGGCATCACAACCCCTCCCCCCCCCATAGATCCATGGCCACACACCTGACCCCCACCCTGTACCCCTCCCCCCACTCAGTCCCCTCCCCCCCCTTCATGCCCCTCCCCCCCCCTTACTTGTCAACGGAGTCGAAGGTTTTCTTGAGGGGGGGGGGCCGCACTTTCACTTTCTTCCCCGCCCCTCCCCCATCCTTGCGCTCCTCGGCGGGGGGGGGCGGGGCCGGCGGGGGGGGAGGAGGGGCGGAGCTTCGGGGGGGCCCCTCCGGGTGGGGGGGGGAGGAGGAGGAAGAGGAGGAGGAGGGGCCAGGAGCGGTGGGGGGGGGCTCCGGGCGGCTCTCGGGGGGCGGCGGCCTCCACTTGGCACCCTATGGGGGGGGGGGAATAAAGGGGGTTCATTAATTAATGAGGGGGGGTTAATTAATAACGGGGGGGGGGAGGGGCACTCACCGTGTCCCCCGAGGGGGGGGTGGGGGGCGGCTCCTCACCGGGGTCCCGTTGGCTCCAGGCCTCGGTGTTGGGGGGGGAGGGGGGCTCGTTTTGGCCGGGGGGGGGAGGGGCGGGGGGGTCCCATTCGGCGGTGGGGGGAGGGGGGGGGTGGTGGTGGTGGAAGAGGAGGAGGAGGAGGAAGAAGGGGGGGGTGGGGGAGGGGCAGGGTCAGGAGGGCCACGTGGGGGGTCCGGCGGGGGGCGTGGCCCCTCGTAGCAGCCAATGGGGATGGTGGCGATGGCGGCTTTGACCTTTTGGGGGGCTTCGGGAGGGGGGGGCGGGGAGGGCGGGAGGGGGGGAAGCTCAAGGGGGCTGTCAAGAGAGGAGGGGGGCATGCAAATGAGGGGGCGGGGCCTCATTTGCATGCCCCCCCCTCCCCTTTATACGGCCCCAGGACCCACACATGGGGCTTAGCCCCGCCCCTTACCTGCATTGCCCTGGCTGGGGGCGGGTCCTCCCTTGGGCAGGATGGGCGGGGCCACGGAAGGAGCGGTTCCCGCCACGCTGTAGACCAATCCGGTGGCGGGGGCGGGGCCAGGGGCGGGCCCGGGGCGGGGCCAGGGTAAATGGCGGCAAGGACCGGCCCGGCCGAGGCTGGAGGCAGCGTTGGGGGGGGCAGCGGGGACAGGCCTGGGGGGGGGCATCAGCATTGACCCTATGGGACCCACAGCTGCCCCACAGGACCCATATAGCCCCCTATATACCCCCCATAGATCACATTAAGACCCCCATACCCCCTATATACCCCCCATAGATCACCTTAAGCCCCCTCATATACCCCCCATAGATCACCTTAAGACCCCCATACCCCTATATACCCCCCACAGATCACATTAAGACCCCCATACCCCTATATCCCCCGCATAGATCCCATTAACCCCCCCATAGATCCCATTAAGCCCCCCCATACCCCCTATAGATCACCTTAAGCCCCCCATATACCCCCCTATAGATCACCTTACGACCCCCATACCCCCCTATATCCCCCCCATAGATCCCATTAACCCCCCATAGATCACCTTAAGCCCCCCCATATACCCCCCATAGATCACATTAAGACCCCCCTACCCCCTATATGCCCCCCATAGATCACCTTAAGCCCCCCCATATACCCCCGATAGATCACCTTACGACCCCAATACCCCTCTATAGATCACCTTACGACCCCCATACCCCCCTATATCCCCCCCATAGATCCCATTAACCCCCCCCATAGATCACCTTAAGCCCCCCATATACCCCCCACAGATCACCTTACGACCCCCATACCCCCTATATACCCCCCCATAGATCACCTTAAGCCCCCCCATACCCCCTATAGATCACCTTAAGACCCCCATACCCCCCCATAGTTCACATTAAGACCCCCATACCCCCCCATAGTTCACATTAAGACCCCCATACCCCCCTATAGATCACCTTAAGACCCCCATACCCCCCCATAGTTCACATTAAGACCCCCATACCCCCCCATAGTTCACATTAAGACCCCCATACCCCCCCATAGTTCACATTAAGACCCCCATACCCCCCTATAGATCACCTTAAGCCCCCCATATACCCCCCTATAGATCACCTTACGACCCCCATACCCCCCTATATCCCCCCCATAGACCCCATTACCCCCCCCATAGATGACCCCCCCATACCGGGCAGCAGGGGCTGGACGATCGCCGACCCCCCCGGCCCCAGCGCGGTGAAGCCGAGCACCGGGGGCTGCACGAAGGGGGGGGCAGGGCCTTGGGGGGCCCCCCCTGGGTTTTGGGGGGCTCCGGTGGGGGGCGGTGGGGGGAGGGGCCGGGTGCACGTAGGCGATGCGGGCGGGGGAGGGGAGCAGCACCTTTGGGGGCTGCCCCCCCCCTCCCCCACTGCTGCTGCTGCCCCCTCCTCCTCCTCCTCCTCCTCCTCCCCCCACGGCGGCTGTGGGGCTGCCGGGGGGGGGCACCACGGGCACGGGGCTCAGCTGGATGATCTGGACGGAGAGAGGGGGTTATGGGGGGGGATATGGGGGGTATATAGGGGGGTATAGGGGGGGTATATAGGGGTTATATAGGGGGGTATAGGGGGGGTATATAGGGGTTATATAGGGGGGTATAGGGGGGGTATATAGGGGTTATATAGGGGGGTATATGGGGGGTATATAGGCGTTATATAGGGGGGTATAGGGGGGGTACGGGGGGGTATATGGGGGGTCTATGGGGGGGTCATATGGGGGGTATATAGGGGGGTATATGGGGGGTATATAGGGGTTATATAGGGGGGTATATGGGGGGTCATATAGGGGGGTATATGGGGGGTCTATGGGGGGTCATATAGGGGGGTATATGGGGGGTATGGGGGGGTATATGGGGGGTCTATGACGGGGTCATATAGGGGGGTATATGGGGGGGTCTATGGGGGGTCATATAGGGGGTATATGGGGGGCTATGGGGGGGGTCTATGGGGGGGTCATAGAGGGGGGTATATGGGGGTTATAGGGGGTTATATAGGGGGTCATGGGGGGCTTATATAGGGGGTCATATGGGGGTTATGGGGGGTATATAGGAGGGTATATGGGGAGGGGTTATATAGAGGAGTTATATAGGGGATTATATAGGGGTTATATAGGGGGTATAGGGGGGGTTATAGGGGGTTATATAGGGGGTCATATAGGGGGTATATGGGGAGGGGTTATATAGGGGATTATACAGGGGTTATATAGGGGGTATAGGGGGGGTTATAGGGGGTTATATAGGGGGTCATATAGGGGGTATATGGGGAGGGGTTATATAGGAGGTTATATAGGGGGTCATATAGGGGGGTATATAGGGGGTCATATAGGAGTTATATAGGGGGTGATATGGGGGGTTATATAGGGCGGCTATATAGGGGATTATATAGGGATTATATGGGGGTATATGGGGGCTTATATAGTGGGTTATATAGGGGGTCATATAGGGGGTCATACAGGGGTTATATGGGGGTATATGGGGAGGGGTTATATAGGGGTTTATATAGGGGGTCATATAGAAGGTTATGGGGGGTATATAGGGAGTTATATAGGGGATCATATAGGGGGTATATGAGGAGTTATATAGGGGGTCATATAGGGGGCTATATAGGGGTCATATAGGAGGTCATATAGGGGTTATATGGGTGTATATGGGGAGGGGTTATATAGGAGGTCATATAGAAGGTTATGGGGAGTATATAGGGGGTTATATAGGGGATTATATAGGGGTTATATAGGGGGTATATGAGGAGTTATATAGGGGGTCATATAGGGGGTTATATAGGGGTCATATAAGGGGTATATGGGGGGTTATATAGGGGGTCATGTAGAGTGTTATATAGGGGTTATATAAGGGGTCATATAGGGGGTCATATAGGGGGATATGGGGAGGGGTTATATAGCGGGTCATATGGGGGGTATATGGAGACAGGTTATATAGAGAATTGTATAGCAGGTCATATAGAGGGTTATATAGAGGGCTATATGGGGAGGGTTTATATGGGGGGGTGATATAGTGGGTTATATAGTGGGTCATATGGGTTATATAGGGGGGTATATGAGGAGGGGTTATATGGGGGGTTATATAGTGGGTCACATAGGGGGTTATATGGGGGTATACAGGGGGTATATGGGGAGGGGTTATATAGGCAGTTATATGGGGGGTTATATAGGGGGATATATAAGGGGGTATATGGGATGGGTTATATGGGGATGGGTTATATGGGGGGGTTATACAGGGTGTTATATAGGGGGTTATCTAGGCAGTTATGGGGGGGTTATATACGGGGATATATAGGGATGGGTTATATAGAGAGGATTATATAGTGGGCTATATATGGGGTTATATAGGCAGTCATATAGGGGGTTATATGGGGGGTTATATGGGGAGGGGTTATATGGGGATATAATGGGGAGGGGTTTATATAGGGGGTGTACAGGGGGTTATATAGGCAGGGTATATGGATAGTTATATGGGGGGAGATTATATGGGGAGGGGGCTATAAATGGGGGTATGGGGGGTTGTATATGGGGGGTATATATGGGAAGGGGGTCATATGGGGAGTATATAGGGAAAGGATTATATGGGGGGTATGGGGGAGGAGTTACATGGGCAGAGGGTTATATGGGGGGGATAGGGGGGGTTATATAGGGGAGGCTTATATGGGGAGGGGGTATATGGGGGGTTATATTGGCAGAGGGGTATACGGGGAGGGTTCTATGGGGCGTTTACAGGGGTGGTATGTATGGGGGATGCATATGTGGAGGGGGGCATATGGGGGGTTTTGTAGAGAGGTTACAAGGGGGGTATATGGGGGGCATATATGGGGTTCTATGGGGTGAAGGGTTGTATGGGAGCATATATGGGGGTGCATATGGGGGTTCTATGGGGTGAAGGGTTGTATGGGGGCATATATGGGGGTGCATATGGGGGGTTCTATGGGGTGAAGGGTTGTATGGGGGCATATATGGGGGTGCATATGGGGGGTTCTATGGGGTGAAGGGTTATATGGGGGCATATATAGGGGTGCATATGGGGGGTTCTATGGGGTGAAGGGTTATATGGGAGCATATATGGGGGTGCATATGGGGGGTTCTATGGGGTAAAGGGTTATATGGGGCATATATGGGGGTGCATATGGGGGGTTCTATGGGGTGAAGGGTTGTATGGGGGCATATATGGGGTGCATATGGGGGGTTCTATGGGGTGAAGGGTTATATGGGGGCATACATGGGGGTGCATATGGGGGGTTCTATGGGGTGAAGGGTTATATGGGGGCATATATAGGGGTGCATATGGGGGGTTCTATGGGGTGAAGGGTTATATGGGGGCATATATGGGGGTGCATATGGGGGTTCTATGGGGTGAAGGGTTATATGGGGGCATACATGGGGGTGCATATGGGGGGTTCTATGGGGTGAAGGGTTATATGGGGGCATATATGGGGTGCATATGGGGGGTTCTATGGGGTGAAGGGTTATATGGGGGCATACATGGGGGTGCATATGGGGGGTTCTATGGGGTGAAGGGTTATATGGGGGCATATATAGGGGTGCATATGGGGGGTTCTATGGGGTGAAGGGTTATATGGGGGCATATATGGGGGTGCATATGGGGGGTTCTATGGGGTGAAGGGTTATATGGGGGCATATATGGGGGTGCATATGGGGGTTCTATGGGGTGAAGGGTTATATGGGGGCATATATGGGGGTGCATATGGGGGGTTCTATGGGGTAAAGGGTTATATGGGGGCATACATGGGGGTGCATATGGGGGGTTCTATGGGGTGAAGGGTTGTATGGGGGCATATATGGGGTGCATATGGGGGGTTCTATGGGGTGAAGGGTTATATGGGGGCATATATGGGGTGTTCTATGGAGTGAAGGGTTATATGGGGGCATATATGGGGGTGCATATGGGGGTTCTATGGGGTGAAGGGTTATATGGGGGCATATATGGGGGTGCATATGGGGGGTTCTATGGGGTGAAGGTGGTTTAAATGAGGTGGGGGAGGGGGAAGGGGAGGATGCGTGGGGTCAATGGGGGTCAGGATGGGGGAGGGGCACTCACCTTGCTGGGGGGCGGGGCCGCGCTGTGGGGGGCAAAGGGGGGGGCGCGGGGGGCGGAGCCACAGGCACCAGAACCTTGCCTGGGAGCAGCGGGGGGGGCGGCTGTGGGGGGAGGGGGGGAGGGGTCAGACCCCCCACCTCAGCCCCCTCAGCCCCATAGAACAGTGACCCATAGAACAGTGACCCATAGAACACGGTGACCCATAGAACACAGTGACCCATAGCTCCTACCCCATCGAACAGTGACCCATAGAACAGTGACCCATAGAACACAGTGATCCATAGAACACAGTGACCCATAGCTCCTGCCCCATCGAACAGTGACCCATAGAACAGTGACCCATAGAACACAGTGATCCATAGAACACAGTGACCCATAGCTCCTGCCCCATAGAACAGTGACCCACAGAACAGTGACCCATAGAACACAGTGATCCATAGAACACAGTGACCCATAGCTCCTGCACCATAGAACAGTGACCCACAGAACAGTGACCCATAGAACACAGTGACCCATAGAACACAGTGACCCATAGCCCCTGCCCCATAGAACAGTGACCCACAGAACACAGTGACCCAGAGCCCCTACCCCATAGAACAGTAACCCACAGAACACAGTGACCCAGAGCCCCTGCCCCATAGAACAGTAACCCACAGAACACAGTGACCCGTAGCCCGTGCCCCACATCAGCCCCAGCCCCATAGAACACAGTGACCCATAGCCCCTGCCCCACATCATCCCCCTATAGAACACAGTGACCCATGGACCCTGCCCCACAGAACACAGTGACCCATAGCCCCTGCCCATAGAACAGTGACCCGTAGAACACAGTGACCCATGGACCCTGCCCCACAGAACACAGTGACCCATAGCCCCTGCCCCACATCATCCCCCCTATAGAACACAGTGACCCATGGACCCTGCCCCACAGAACACAGTGACCCACAGCCCCTGCCCCACATCATCCCCCCTATAGAACACAGTGACCCATGGACCCTGCCCCACAGAACACAGTGACCCATAGCCCCTGCCCCACATCATCCCCCCTATAGAACACAGTGACCCATGGACCCTGCCCCACAGAACACAGTGACCCACAGCCCCTGCCCCACATCATCCCCCCTATAGAACACAGTGACCCATGGACCCTGCCCCACAGAACACAGTGACCCATAGCCCCTGCCCCACATCATCCCCCCTATAGAACACAGTGACCCATGGACCCTGCCCCACAGAACACAGTGACCCACAGCCCCTGCCCCACATCATCCCCCCTATAGAACACAGTGACCCATAGCCCCTGCCCCATAGAACAGTGACCCATAGCCCCTGCCCCACATCACCCCCCCCATAGAACACACCAGCCCCACATCCCCCCCCCCCCCTTACCCTCCCCCTCACCTTTGGGGGCGGAGCCTCCGGCCGCAGGGGGGGGGTTGGGCACCGGCAGCACCTTCCCGTTGGGGGGGGCAGCGCGAAGTGGAGCCCGGGAGGGGGGGGAGGGGCGGCGGGGGGGGCGGCCCGGGGGTGGGGGAGGGGAGGGCCCCCAGCGGCGGAGGGGGGGGGAGGGGCGGGCCCGGCCTTGGGGTGGGGGAGGGGCAGGGTGGGCAGGATGTACTGAACCTGCGTGATGGGAGCCCCCTTGCCCTGCGGGGGGGGGGCGGGGGGGGGGCTGCAGGACCCCCAGCGGCGGGGGGAGGGGCCCGTTGGGTCCCGCCCCGCCCCCCGCCCCTCCCCCCGCTCCGTGGGGCTGCGCAATGAACTGCACCGGGGGGGGAGGGGCCAAAAGAGCCAAGGGGGGGCCCGGGCCCCCCCCTCCCCCTCCGCCACCTCCAGCCCCTCCCCCCACCCCCCCGCCGCCCCCCAGCACCAGGTTGGCCACGACCCCTCCCCCCGCTCCTCCCCCACCGGGGGGGGAGGGGCTTTGCGCTCCCCTCCCCCCACCCCCATTTTGGGGTCCGCGGTGGGGGGAGGGGCGGGGCCGGGGCGCAGCGTGGGGTGGGGGAGGGGCGGGGGGAGACCCCCTCCCCCCGCAGCAGCCGCCCCTCCCCCACCGGGGGTCGCGCCCCCCCCCGGCGCCTCCGACCCCCCTCCCCCGGCGCTCTCTGCCCGTTTGCGGCGGGGGGGGGGAGGGGCCCCCCCTTCGAAGCGCTTGGGGGGGGCGGGGGGGGGCCCTTTGTAGGGGGCGGGGCTTGGGGGGAGGGGCTCGGAGGGGCCGGGGGGGGGATCCAGGTCCGGGACGGGGCGGGGGAGGGGAGGCGCCGGAGGGAACAGCTTCCGGGGGAAGGGCTAAAGAGTGGGGGGGAAATGGGGGTCAGGGACCCATAGAGAGAGTCTGCCCCCATAGAGCTCCATAGAACCCTATAGAGCCCCATAGACATGCTCCAGACCCACAGAGACCCCTCAGCCCCATAGAGCCCCCCAACCCACTCCCACAGACCCCTCATAGCCCCACTGAACCCCAAACCCCACAGACCCTCCCCAACCCCACAGCTCCCCGTGCCCCATAGATCTCTGCCCCACTGATCCGCCCAGCCCCATAGACCCCATCAGACCCCCCTACATCACAGCCTCACCGAATCCCCACAGATCCCCTATAGCCCCATTGAACCCCAAACCCCACAGCATCCCCCTCTCTATAGATCCCTGTCCCATACCTCCTTCCCCCACAGCTCCATAGCTCCCTGCCCCATAGCTCCCTGCCCCATAGCTCCTTGCCCCATAGCTCCCTGCCCCATAGCTCCCATAGCTCCTGCCCCACAGCTCCCACAGCTTCCTGCCCAATAGCCCCCGTATCTCCCAGCCCCACAGATCCCTGCCCCATAGCTCCCACAGCTCCCTGCCCCATAACTCTCTGCCCCATAGCTCCCATTACTCCCTGCCCCATAACTCTCTGTCCCACAGCTCTCATTACTCCCTGTCCCATAGCTCCCATTACTCCCTGCCCCGTAACTCTCTGCCCCATAGCTCCCATTACACCCTGCCCCATAACTCCCTGCCCCATAGCTCCCATAACTCACTGCCCCATAACTCCCTGTCCCATAGCTCCCATTACTCCCTGCCCCATAGCTCCCATAACTCACTGCCCCATAACTCCCTGTCCCATAGCTCCCGTAACTCCCTGCCCCATAGCTCCCATAACTCCCTGTCCCATAGCTCCCATCACTCCCTGTCCCATAGCTCCCATCACTCCCTGTCCCATAGCTCCCATTACTCCCTGCCCCATAGCTCCCTGCCCCACAACTCCCTGCCCCATAGCTCCCATCACTCCCTGCCCCATAGCTCCCTGCCCCATAGCTCCCATAACTCCCTGTCCCATAGCTCCCATCACTCCCTGCCCCATAGCTCCCATTACTCCCTGCCCCATAGCTCCCTGCCCCACAACTCCCTGCCCCATAACTCCCTGCCCCATAGCTCCCATCACTCCTGCCCCATAGCTCCCATCACTCCCTGCCCCATCACTCCCTGCCCCACAACTCCCTGCCCCATAGCTCCCTGCCCCATAGCTCCCATCACTCCCTGCCCCATACCTCCCATCACTCCCTGCCCCATAACTCCCTGCCCCATAGCTCCCATCACTCCCCTGCCCCATAGCTCCCATCACTCCCTGCCCCATCACTCCCTGCCCCACAACTCCCTGCCCCATAGCTCCCATCACTCCCTGCCCCATAGCTCCCTGCCCCATAGCTCCCATAACTCCCTGTCCCATAGCTCCCATCACTCCCTGCCCCATAGCTCCCTGCCCCATAGCTCCCATTACTCCCTGCCCCATAGCTCCCTGCCCCACAACTCCCTGCCCCATAGCTCCCATCACTCCCTGCCCCACAACTCCCTGCCCCATAGCTCCCATCACTCCCTGCCCCATAGCTCCCTGCCCCATAGCTCCCATCACTCCCTGCCCCATAGCTCCCTGCCCCATAGCTCCCATCACTCCCTGCCCCATAGCTCCCATAGCTCCCTGCCCCACAACTCCCTGCCCCATAGCTCCCATCACTCCCCGCCCCACACCTCCCACCTTGCCCTCATCCCCCGAGGAGTCGCTGTCGCTGTCGCTGACGCGCTCCTTGCACTTGAGATCGATGTCGGTGGTGGTGGGGGGGGGGGGGGGGAACCCATCATCCGCTATGGGGCAGAGAGGGGAGGGGGGTGTGGGGTGTCAATGGGGTCACCCCCATCCCCTCCCCTCCCCCCCCCCAGGTGGGTGTGACCTCACCGATGACGTCATCGTCGCCCTCCTCCTCGCAGATCACCATTCGCTCCTCGTCGCTCGTCATCTCCTCGCTGGCGGCGCGGGGGGGGCGCGGGGGGGCGCGCGACGAGGGGGGAGGGGGCGGCGGGAGGGAGGCGGGGGCAGGGCGGGGGGCGGGGGGAGGGGGGGGAGGCCCCGACACCAGCTGCTGGGGGGGGGGGAGGGGTCAAGTATATGGGACCCCTCCCCCCCCCCAATATCACCCCCTGCCCCACACATCCATAAGCCCCTCCCCCCACATGACCTCCAGCCCCACATCCTACTCTGCCCCACAGAACCCCCCCACCTCGTATCACCTCAGCCCCATAGAGCCCTCTGCCCCACATCCCCCCCAACCTCATACATCCCCCCAGTCCCACATCCCCTCCTCAGCCCCATAGAACCCCCCCCACCCCACACATCCCCCTGCCCCACATAACCCCACTCAGCCCCACATCCCTCCTGCCCATACACCCCCCCCCCAGCCGCACACATCCTTCCTGCCCCATATAAACTCTCCACCCCATATAACTCCGTATGCCCCAACCCCGCACATCTCCCCTCCGCCCCACACGTCATCCTGCCCCATACAACCCCACACATTCCCCCTCAACCCCACATCCCCTCCCAGCCCCACATGTCTCCCTCCATTCCCATATAACTTCCCCCTGCCCCAGGCCCTTCCTGCCCCACATCCCCTCAGTCCCACACATCTCTCCTGCCCTACACGTCCCCCACATCCCCCCCAGCCCCACACAACCCCCCTCAGCCCCACACAACCCCCCCTGCCCCAGACATCGCTGCTCCACATAACCCCACTCAGGCCCACACATCCCTCCTGCCCCACACATCCCCCATGCCCCACACAACATCCCTCCTGCCACACACAACCCCCCCCAGCCCCACACATACCCCTGCCCCACATAACCCCACTCAGCCCCACACATCCCTCCTGCCCCACAAATCCCTCCTGCCACACCCCCCCCAGCCCCACCTCCCCCCAGCCCCAAACATACCCCTGCCCCACATAACCCCCCTCAGCCCCACATCCCCCATGCATCCCACACAACCCCCCTCAGCCTCACATAACCCCCTTAGCCCCACATATCCCTGCCCCACACAACCCCCCTCAGCCTCACATAACTCCCCTTAGCCCCACATATCCCTGCTCCACACAACCCCCCTCAGCCCCACACATCCCCCCTGCCCCACACATCCCCATACCCCACACAACCCCCCTCAGCCCCACACATCCCCATACCCCACACAACCCCTCCTCAGCCCCACACATCCCCCTGCCCCACACATCCCCATGCCCCAGACATCCCCCCTAACCTACACATCCCCTCTGCCCCACATACCCCCCCGCCCCACACATCCCCCAGCCCCACACATCCCCATAACCCACACAACCCCTCCCCTGCCCCACACATCCCCCCTAACCTACACATCCCCTCTGCCCCACATAACCCCCCCCACCCCACACATCCCCCAGCCCCACACATCCCCATAACCCACACAACCCCTCCCCTGCCCCACACATCCCCATACCCCACACAACCCCCCCTCAGCCCCACACATCCCCATGCCCCAGACATCCCCCTAACCTACAAATCCCCTCTGCCCCACATACCCCCCCCGCCCCACACATCCCCCTGCCCCACACATCCCCATACCCCACACAACCCCCCCTCAGCCCCACACATCCCCATACCCCACACATCCCCCTGCCCCACACATCCCCATACCCCACAAAACGCCCCCCTCAGCCCCACACATCCCCCCTGCCCCACATCCCCCCCCTCCCCCCCGTACCTGCCCCAGCTCCCGCAGGGGGCGCCCGTGGGGCTCGGCCCCCCCCAGCCCCTGGACTCCGCTGTGCGAGAAGGCGCGAGGCCGCTGCGCCCCTCCCCCACCCGGCGCCGGCCCCGCCCCCGCCGCGGCCTCGGGGGGGTCCGAGGAGCCTGTGGGGGAGGGGAGAGGTCAAGGGGGGGTCATGGGGTTAAAGGGGGGCTATGGGGTCAGTGAGGGGTCATGGGGTTAAAGGGGGGCTATGGGGTCAGTGAGGGGTCATGGGGTTAAAGGGGGGCTATGGGGTCAATGAGGGGTCATGGGGTTAAAGGGGGGCTATGGGGTCAATGAGGGGTCATGGGGTTAAAGGGGGGCTATGGGGTCAGTGAGGGGTCATGGGGTTAAAGGGGGGCTATGGGGTCAGTGAGGGGTCATGGGGTTAAAGGGGGGCTATGGGGTCAATGAGGGGTCATGGGGTTAAAGGGGGGCTATGGGGTCAATGAGGGGTCATGGGGTTAAAGGGGGGCTATGGGGTCAGTGAGGGGTCATGGGGTTAAAGGGGGGCTATGGGGTCAGTGAGGGGTCATGGGGTTAAAGGGGGGCTATGGGGTCAATGAGGGGTCATGGGGTTAAAGGGGGGTTATGGGGTCAATGGGGGAATGGGGTTAAGGAGGGGCTATGGAGGAATGGGGTCAATGAGGGGTCATAGGGTTAAAGGGGGGGGCTATGGGTGGAATAGGGGTCAATGAGGGGTCATGGGGTTAAAGGGGGAGCTATGGGGGTCAATGGGGTTAAAGGAGGGGCTATGGGGGCAATAGGGGTCAATGAGGGGTCATGGGGTTAAAGGGGTGCTATGGGGGGTCAATGGGGGGAATGGGGTTAAAGGGGGGCTATTGGGGTCAATGAGGGGTCATGGGGTTAAAGGGGGGTTATCGGGGTCAATGGGGGAATGGGCTTAAAGGGGGTCTATGGGGGTCAATGGGATTAAAGGGTGGGCTATGGGGGGAATAGGGGGTCAATGAGGGGTCATGGGGTTAAAGGGGGGGCTATTGGGGTCAATGAGGGGTCATGGGGTTAAAGGGGGGCTATGGGGGTCAATGGGGGGGAATGGGTTAAGGAGGGGCTATGGAGGAATGGGGTCAATAAGGGGTCATGGGGTTAAAGGGGGGGTATGGGGGGTCAATGGGGGAAATGGGGTTAAAGGAGGGGCTATGGGTGGAATAGGGGTCAATGAGGGGTCATCGGGTTAAAGGGGGGCTATGGGGTCAATGAGGGGTCATGGGGTTAAAGGGGGGCTATGGGGTCAATGAGGGGTCATGGGGTTAAAGGGGCGCTATGGGGGGAATAGGGGTCAATGAGCGGTCATGGGGTTAAAGGGGGGCTATGGGGTCAATGAAGGGTCATGGGGTTAAAGGGGGCGCTATGGGGGGAATAGGGGTCAATGAGCGGTCATGGGGTTAAAGGTGGGCTATGGGGTCAATGAGGGGTCATGGGGTTAAAGGGGGGCTATGGTGGAATAGGGGTCAATGAGGGGTCATGGGGTTAAAGGGGGGCTGGGGTGTCAATGGGGGAATGGGGTTAAAGGGGTGCTATGGGGGGATAGGGGTCAATGAGGGGTCATGGGGTTAAAGGGGGCCTATGGGGGTCAATGGGGGGAATGGGGTTAAAGGGGGACTATGGGTGGAATAGGGGTCAATGAGGGGTCATGGGGTTAACAGGGGCGCTATGGGGGGAATAGGGGTCAATGAGCGGTCATGGGGTTAAAGGGAGCTATGGGGTCAATGAGGGGTCACAGTGTTAAAGGGGGGGCTATTGGGGTCAATGGGGGGTCATGGGGTTAAAGGGGGCTATGGGGCAATAGGGGTCAATGAGGAGTCATGGGGTTAAAGGGGGGCTATGAGGGGAACAGGGGTCAATGAGGGGTCATGGGGTTAAAGGGGGGCTGGGAGGGTCAATGGGGGAAATGGGGTTAAAGGGGGGTTATGGGGGTCAATGTGGGGAATGGGGTTAAGGTGGGGCTATGGAGGAATGGGGTCAATGAGGGGTCATGGGGTTAAAGGGGGGGCTATGGGGGTCAATGGGGGGAAATGGAGTTAAAGGAGGGGCTATGGGGGCAATAGGGGTCAATGAGGGGTCATGGGGTTAAAGGGGGGGGGCTATGGGGGCAAATGGGGGTCCAAAGGGAGGGTGGGGGGGAGGACTTGGGGGTCTGGGGGGGGTCCATGGGATATTTGGGATGGAAATGGGGGGGGACGTAACTGTCTCTATGGGGTCTCTGGGGGTCTCCATGTCTCTCTATAGGTTTCTATGGGTTATCAATGGGTCTCTAAGGGCTATCAATAGTTATCAACGGGTCTCTATGGGTTATCAATGTTATCAATGGGTCTCTATGGGTTATCAATGTTATCAATGGGTCTCTATGGGTTATCAATGGGTCCCTATGCTGTCTCTATGGTGTCTCTACAGGATTTCTACGGGTTATCAATGGGTCTCTATGGGTTATCAATGGGTCTCTAAGGGTTATCAATACTTATCAATAGGTCTCTATGGGTTATCGATGGGTCCCTATGGTGTCTCTATGGTGTCTTATAGGTTCTCTGTGGGTTATCAATGGGTCCCTATGGGGTATCAATGGGTCCCTATAGGATATCAATGGGTCCCTATGGCATCAATGGGTCCCTATAGGATATCAATGGATCCCAATGGGTCCCTATAGGATATCAATGGGTCCCTATGGGTCCCTATGGCATCTATGGGTCCCAATGGGTGCCTATGGCTCCCTATGGTTATCAATGGGTCCCTACAGGATATCAATGGGTCCCTATGGTACCAATAGGTCCCTATGGTATCTATGGGTCCCTACGGGATATCAATGGGTCCCTATGGTATCAATGGGTCCCTATGGTATCTATGGCTCCCTATGGTATCAATGGGTCCCTATAGGACATCAATGGGTCCCAATGGGTCCCTATTTTATCTATGGCTCCCTATGGTATCAATGGGTCATTATAGGATATCAAGGGGCCCCAATGGGTCTCTATGGTATCAATGGGTCCGTATGGTATCAATGGGTCCCTATAGGATATCAATGGGTCCCAATGGGTCCCTATGGTATCAATGGGTCCCTATAGGATATCAATGGGTCCCAATGGACCCCTATGGTATCTATGGCTCCCTCTGGTATCAATGGGTCCCAATGGGTCCCTATGGTATCTATGGGTCCCTATGGTATCAATGGGTCCCTATAGGATATCAATGGGTCCCTATGGTATCAATGGGTCCCTATAGGATATCAATGGGTCCCAATGGGTCCCTATGGTATCAGTGGGTCCCTACAGGATATCAATGGGTCCCTATAGGAATCAATGGGTCCCTATAGGATATCAATGGGTCCCTATAGGATATCAATGGGTCCCTATGGTATCAATGGGTCCCTACGGTATCAATGGGTCCCTACAGGATATCAATGGGTCCCTACAGGATATCAATAGGTCCCTATAGGAATCAATGGGTCCCTATAGGAATCAATGGGTCCCTATGGTATCAATGGGTCCCTATAGGAATCAATGGGTCCCTATAGGAATCAATGGCTCCCTATGGCATCTATGGGTCCCCACGCTCCCCCCGTGTGTCAGCATCGGTCCGGACCTGCCGGGGCGCTGCGGGCCCGCTCTCGGAGGCGCTGCGTTCGCGGGGCTCTTTGGGGGCCCCCCGCGCCCCCCCCTCGGAGCTCGACTTCTTGCGGTCCTTGTTGCACCACTTCCAGTCGGGGTGCGCCTTGAAGTGAGCCTCCTTCACCTGCAGGGGGCGGCACAGAGCCGCTCAGGCACAGCGCGCTGCCGGCCGCCCCGGGGGGGGGACGGGAACCCCTATAGGGACACGTCTATAGGGACACGTCTATAGGGACACCCCCCCCATATGGACATCCCAATAGGGACACGTCTATAGGGACACGTCTATAGGGACACGTCTATAGGGACACCCCCCCCCATATGGACATCCCAATAGGGACACGTCTATAGGGACACCCCCCCCCCATAGGGACACCCCTATAGGGACACGTCTATAGGGACACCCCCCCCCCATAGGGACACCCCTATAGGGACACGTCTATAGGGACACCCCCCCCATAGGGACACCCCTATAGGGACACGTCTATAGGGACACCCCCCCCCATATGGACATCCCAATAGGGACACGTCTATAGGGACACCCCCCCCCCATATGGACATCCCAATAGGGACACGTCTATAGGGACACCCCCCCCATAGGGACACGTCTATAGGGACACGTCTATAGGGACACCCCCCCCATAGGGACACCCCTATAGGGACACCCCCCCCATATGGACATCCCAATAGGGACACGTCTATAGGGACACCCCCCCCCATAGGGACACCCCTATAGGGACACCTCTATAGGGACACCCCCCCATAAGGACACCCCCCCATAGGGACACCCCATAGGGACACCCTTATAGGGACACGCCCCCCCCCCAGGGATTCCCTCATAGGGACACCACTATAGGGACACCTCTATAGGGACACCACTATAGGGACACCCCCCATAGGGACACCCCATAGGGACATCCCTATAGGGACACGCCCCCCCACAGGGATCCCCTCATAGGGACACCCCTATAGGGACACCTCTATAGGGACACCCCTATAGGGACTCCCCTATAGGGACACCCCCATAGGGACACATCTATAGGGACACCTCTATAGGGACACCCCCCCCCATAGGGACACCCCCATAGGAACACCTCTATAGGGGCACATCTATAGGGACACCCCATAGGGACACCCTTATAGGGACACGCCCCCCCACAGGGATTCCCTCATAGGGACACCCCTATAGGGACACCTCTATAGGGACACCCCTATAGGGACACCCCCATAGGGACATCCCCATAGGGACACATCTATAAGGACACCTCTATAGGGACACCTCTATAGGGACACCCCTATAGGGACCCCCCTATAGGGACACCTCTATAGGGACACCCTATAGGGACACCCCCCCATAGGAACACCCCTATAGGGACACCTCTATAGGGACTCCCCTATAGGGACCCACCCCCATAGGGACACTCCCACAGGGACACCTCTATACGGACACCCCTATAGGGACACCCCTATATGGACCCCCCATAGGAACCCCCCTATAGGGACTCCCCCCCATAGGAACCCCCCTAGAGGGCCCCCCATCCAAAGGGATACCCCTATAGGGACCCCCCCCATAGGGACACCCCTATAGGGACCCTTCCCATAGGAGCACCCCATAGGAACCCCCCATAGGGACCCCCCCTATAGAAACCCTCCCAATAGGAACCCCCCTATAGAAACCCTCCAAGCAGCACCCCATAGGAATCCCCCTATAGGGACCCTTCCAATAGGAGCACCCCATAGGGACCCCCCCATAGGACCCCCCCCTATAGGGACCCTCCCCATAAGAGCACCCCATAGGGACCCCCATAGGAAACTCACAGTAGGACCCTCCCCATAGGAGCACCCCATAGGGACCCACCCCCATAGCGACCCCCCCCCCCCCAGTGACCCCCAATTCCTTCGTCTCCCCCCAGCTCCTCAATCCCCTTGGGACCCAGCCCCCCCAAACCCCACCCAGGATCCCCAATAACCCCACTCAGGCCCTGGGCATAACCCCCCCAGTCCCCCCCAAACTCCACTCAGGGGACCCCCCAATCCCACTCAGGACCCCCCCAATCACCTCTGGACCCTTTCAACCCCTTAAGGACTCCTTTAACACCCCCAAACCCCACCCATGACCCCCAACCCCCTCTCAGGCCCCCAAACCCCACCCATAACCCCCAAACCCCCCAACCCCCCCCCCCCCCCCCCCAGGACCCCCCAAACCCCCACCAGGCCCCCCCATAACCCCACCAATGACCCCCAAACCCCTCCCAGGCCCCCCCAACCCCCCCAGGGACCCCCCAAACCCCATCCAGGACCCCCAACCAACCCCCAGGCCCCCCCATAACCCCCCCCAGGACCCCATGACCCCCCCAAATCACCTCTGGACCCTTTCAACCCCCGTAAGGACCCCTTTAACAACCCCATAACCCCCTCCATGCCCCCATAACCCCCCCCAGGACCCCCATGACCCCCCCAAATCACCTCTGGACCCTTTCCAACCCCGTAAGGACCCCTTTAACAACCCCATAACCCCCTCCATGCCCCCATAACCCCCCCCCCAGGACCCCCATGACCCCCCCAAATCACCTCTGGACCCTTTCAACCCCGTAAGGACCCCTTTAACAACCCCATAACCCCCTCCATGCCCCCATAACCCCCCCCAGGACCCCCATAACCCCCCCCAGCCCCACGCCGTCGCACCTGGAAGGCCAGGTCGTGGTACTGCTGCTTCTCGCGCGGCCCCAGCGCGTACCACCACTCGCCCAGGATCTTGCTGACCGTGCGGTTGTCCTGGTTCGGGTGGCGCTGGTGAACCAGGGCCCGGTGCCGCTTGCTGAAGATCATGAAGGGCGTTCATGGGGCGCCGGATGTGGTCCTTGTCGCGCTGTGGGGTGCGGGGAGGGGGGGGGGGAGTGTCAGTCCTGGCCCAGAGGGAGAGGCGGGGAGGTAGAGAGGCACAGCTGGGTCACAGAGATGGATTCAGACCCATAGAGACACAGCTGGGTGCACAGAGATGGATTCAGACCCATAGAGACACAGCTGGGTGCACAGAGATGGATTCAGACCCATAGAGACACAGCTGGGTGCACAGAGATGGATTCAGACCCATAGAAACACAGCTGGGTGCACAGAGATGGATTCAGACCCATAGACACACATCTGGATGCACAGAGATGGATGCAGACCCATAGAGACACAGCTGGATGCACAGAGATGGATTCAGACCCATAGAGACACAGCTGGATGCACAGAGATGGATTCAGACCCATAGAGACACAGCTGGGTGCACAGAGATGGATTCAGACCCATAGAGACACAGCTGGGTGCACAGAGATGGATTCAGACCTATAGAGACACATCTGGATGCACAGAGATGGATTCAGACCCATAGACACACATCTGGATGCACAGAGATGGATTCAGACCCATAGACACACATCTGGATGCACAGAGATGGATTCAGACCCATAGAGACACAGCTGGATGCACAGAAATGGATTCAGACCCATAGAGACACATTCGGACCCATAGACACACAGCTGGGTGCACAGAGATGGATTCAGACCCATAGAGACACAGCTGGGTGCACAGAGATGGATTCAGACCCATAGAGACACATCTGGATGCACAGAGATGGATTCAGACCCACAGAGACACATCTGGATGCACAGAGATGGATTCAGACCCATAGAGACACATTCGGACCCATAGAGACACAGCTGGGTGCACAGAGATGGATTCAGACCCATAGAGACACATCTGGATGCACAGAGATGGATTCAGACCCATAGAGACACATCTGGATGCACAGAGATGGATTCAGACCCATAGAGACACAGCTGGATGCACAGAAATGGATTCAGACCCATAGAGACACATCTGGACCCATAGAGACACATCTGGATGCACAGAGATGCATTCAGACCCATAGAGACACAGCTGGATGCACAGAGATGGATTCAGACCCATAGAGACACATCTGGATGCACAGAGATGCATTCAGACCCATAGACACATCTGGATGCACAGAAATGGATTCGGACCCATAGAGACACATTCAGACCCATAGAGACACATCTGGACCCATACACATCTGGATGCACAGAGACACATCTGGATGCACAGAAATGGATTCGAACCCATAGAGACACATCTGGATGCACAGAAATGGATTCAGACCCATAGAGACACATCTGGATGCACAGAAATGGATTCAGACCCATAGAGACACATTCAGACCCACAGAGACACAGCTGGACGCAGAGATGGATTCAGACCCATAGAGACACAGCTGGATGCACAGAGATGGATTCAGACCCATAGAGACACATCTGGACTCATAGAGATGCATCTGGATGCACAGAGATGGATTCAGACCCATAGACACACATCTGGACCCATAGAGACACATTCGGACCCATAGACACACAGCTGGGTGCACAGAGATGGATTCAGACCCATAGAGACACAGCTGGGTGCACAGAGATGGATTCAGACCCATAGAGACACATCTGGATGCCCAGAGATGGATTCAGACCCATAGAGACACATCTGGATGCACAGAGATGGATTCAGACCCATAGAGACACAGCTGGATGCACAGAAATGGATTCAGACCCATAGAGACACATCTGGACCCATAGAGACACATCTGGATGCACAGAGATGCATTCAGACCCATAGAGACACAGCTGGATGCACAGAGATGGATTCAGACCCATAGAGACACAGCTGGATGCACAGAGATGGATTCAGACCCATAGAGACACAGCTGGATGCACAGAGATGGATTCAGACCCATAGAGACACAGCTGGATGCACAGAGATGCATTCAGACCCATAGACACATCTGGATGCACAGAAATGGATTCGGACCCATAGAGACACATTCAGACCCATAGAGACACATCTGGACCCATACACATCTGGATGCACAGAGACACATCTGGATGCACAGAAATGGATTCGAACCCATAGAGACACATCTGGATGCACAGAAATGGATTCAGACCCATAGAGACACATCTGGATGCACAGAAATGGATTCAGACCCATAGAGACACATTCAGACCCACAGAGACACAGCTGGACGCAGAGATGGATTCAGACCCATAGAGACACAGCTGGATGCACAGAGATGGATTCAGACCCATAGAGACACATCTGGACTCATAGAGATGCATCTGGATGCACAGAGATGGATTCAGACCCATAGACACACATCTGGACCCATAGAGACACATTCGGACCCATAGACACACATCTGGGTGCACAGAGATGGATTCAGACCCATAGAGACACATCTGGACCCATAGAAACACATCTGGATGCACAGAGGCACAGCTGGGCGCACAGAGACGGATTCAGACCCACAGACACACATCTGGACCCATAGAGACACAGCTGGATGCACAGAGACACATTCAGACCCATAGAGATACAGCTGGACCCATAGAGACACAGCTGGATGCACAGAGATGGATTCAGACCCATAGAGACACATCTGGATGCACAGAGATGCATTCAGACCCATAGAGACACATCTGGATGCACAGAAATGGATTCAGACCCATAGAGACACATTCAGACCCACAGAGACACAGCTGGACGCAGAGATGGATTCAGACCCATAGAGACACATCTGGACCCATAGAGACACATCTGGATGCACAGAGATGCATTCAGACCCATAGAGACACATCTGGACCCATACACATCTGGATGCACAGAGACACAGCTGGATGCACAGAAATGGATTCGGACCCATAGAGACACATTCAGACCCATAGAGACACAGCTGGACACAGAGATGGATTCAGACCCATAGAGACACATCTGGATGCACAGAGATGCATTCAGACCCATAGAGACACATCTGGACCCATAGACATCTGGATGCACAGAGACACAGCTGGATGCACAGAAATGGATTCGGACCCATAGAGACGCATTCAGACCCATAGAGACACATCTGGATGCACAGAGATGCATTCAGACCCATAGAGATGCATCTGGATGCACAGAGATGGATTCAGACCCATAGAGACACATCTGGATGCACAGAGATGGATTCAGACCCATAGAGACACAGCTGGATGCACAGAGATGGATTCAGACCCATAGAAACACAGCTGGATGCACAGAGACACATCTGGATGCACAGAGATGGATTCAGACCCATAGAGACACACCTGGATGCATACAGACACATCCAGACCCATAAGAGATGCATTCAGACCCATAGAGACACATCTGGATGCACAGAGACACATTCAGACCCATAGAGACACATCTGGATGCACAGAGACACATCCAGACCCATAAGAGATGCATTCAGACCCATAGAGACACATCTGGATGCACAGACACACATTCGGACCCATAAGAGATGCATTCAGACCCATAGAGACACATCTGGATGCACAGACACACATTCAGACCCATAAGAGATGCATTCAGACCCATAGAGACACATCTGGATGCACAGACACACATTCAGACCCATAGAGATGCATTCAGACCCATAGAGACACATCTGGATGCACAGACACACATTCAGACCCATAAGAGACACATTCAGACCCCCAGAGACACATTCAGACCCACAGAGACACACCAGACCCATAAAGACACATTCAGACCCACAGAGACACATCTGGATCCATGGACACACATTCAGACCCCCAGAGACACATCTGGACCCACAGGGACACATCCAGACCCATAGAGCCCCCACTGAAGATTTGGTCCTTGTCCTGCTGCAGAACATTGAGGTCAATGGGGGGGTTCTGACCCATAGAGACCCCCCTGACCCATAGAGCACCCACTGTGACCCATAGATACACCCTTGCCCCATAGAGACCCATTGAAGGGGTGGGGGCGTGGCCAACCCTGACCCCACCCACTCAGTCGATAGTGCATGGGGTCACACCCCCCATCTCCTGGCTCCTCCCACAGTGGGGCTGTGGCCAATCAGATGTCTCCATCTTCATGGGCGTGGCCACCCACTGCCCTCCCTCTCCCATTGGCTCCACCCCCTCCATGGGCGTGTCCCCGTTGGCCCCACCCCCTGCAAGTGGCCACGCCCCCATCCAGCTACTCAGTTCCTATTGGCCCCTCCCCCTGCATGCTCCCTCTAAGGGGCAGGGCTTATGGGGTCTATGGGGTATCTCTATGGGGTCACTATGGGGGCTGTGTCTATGGGGTCTCTATGGGGTGTCTGTCTGGGGTTTCTCTATGGGGTCTCTATGGGAGCTACCTCTATGGGGGTCTCTATATGGGTAGTGTCTCTATGGGGCTGTCTCTATGGGGTTTCTCTATGGGGGTCTCTATATGGGTGGTGTCTCTATGGGGCTGTCTCTATGGGGTCTCTATGGGAGCTATCTCTATGGGGGTCTCTATATGGGCGGTGTCTCTATGGGGCTGTTTCTATGGGGTTTCTCTATGGGGTCTCTATGGGAGCTATCTCTATGGGGTCTCTATATGGGCGGTGTCTCTATGGGGCTGTCTCTATGGGGTTTCTCTATGGGGTCTCTATGGGAGCTATTTCTATGGGGGTCTCTATATGGGCAGTGTCTCTATGGGGCTGTCTCTATGGGGTTTCTCTATGGGGGTCTCTATATGGGTGGTGTCTCTATGGGGTCTCTATGGGAGCTATCTCTATGGGGGTCTCTATATGGGCGGCGTCTCTATGGGGTTTCTCTATGGGGGTCTCTATATGGGTGGTGTCTCTATGGGGTCTCTATGGGAGCTATCTCTATGGGGGTCTCTATATGGGCGGCGTCTCTATGGGGTTTCTCTGGGAGCTATCTCTATAGGGGTCTCTATATGGGCGGTGTCTCTATGGGGCTGTCTCTATGGCGTTTCTCTATGGGGTCTCTATGGGAGCTATCTCTATAGGGGTCTCTATATGGGCGGTGTCTCTATGGGGCTGTCTCTATGGGGTTTCTCTATGGGGTCTATATGGACGGTGTCTCTATGGGGTTTCTCTATGGGGTCTCTACTGGGTGTCTCTATGAGGGTCTCTGGGCATCACTTGGGGGGCTCTGAATGCTCTGGAGGGTCCCAAAGGGGTCTCTGGGTGGTTTGTGGGGTCCCTAAGGGGTCTCTGGTGGGTTTAGGGGCTCAATAAGGGGTCTCTGGATGCTTTTAGGGGGTCCCTACGGGGTCTCTGGGGAGCCCCTAAGGGGTCTCTGGGTGGCTTGGGGGGTCCCTAAGGCATGTCTGGGGGCCCCCTAGGGGATCTTTGGGGGTCCCTAAGGGGTCTTTGGGGGGTCCCTAAGGGGTTATTGGGTGGCTTGGAGGGGTCCCTAAGTCATCTCTGGGGGCTCCCTCAGGGGTCTTTGGGTGGTCCTAAGGGGTCCCTGGGTGCTCTAGGGGTTCCCTAAGGGGCCCCTGGGTGCTTTAGGGACTCCCTAAGGGGTCTCTGGGTTCTTTTGGGACTCCCTAAGGTGTCTCTGAGGGCGTTTGGGCCTCCCTAAGGGGTTTCTGGGTGCTTTAGGGACTCCCTAAGGGGTCCCTGAGGGCTCCCTTGGTTCTTTGGGGGGGTCCCTATGGAGTCTCTGGGTGCTTTAGGGACTCCCTAAGGTGTCCCTGGGTGCTTAAGGGACTCCCTAAGGTGTCCCTGGGTGCTTTAGGGGCTCCCTAAGGGGTCTCTGGGTGCTTAGGGGCTCCCTAACGGGTCCCTGTGTGCTTTAGGGACTCCCTAAAGGTGCCTGTGTGCTTTAGGGACTCCCTAAGGGGTCCCTGGGTGCGTTAGGGATTCCCTAAGGGGTCTCTGGGTGCTTTAGGGACTCCCTAAGGGGTCCCTGGGTGCTTTAGGGACTCCCTAAGGTGTCTCTGGGTGCTTAAGGGACTCCCTAAGGGGTCCCTGGGTGCTTTAAGGACTCCCTAAGGGGTCTCTGTGTGCTTTAGGGGCTCCCTAAGGGGTCTATGGGTGCTTTAGTGGCTCCCTAACGGGTCTCTGGGTGCTTTAGGGGCTCCCTAAGGGGTCTCTGAGGGCTCCCTAAGTGGTCTCTGGGTGCTTTAGGGGCTCCCTAAGGGGTCCCTGGGTGCTTTAGAGACTCCCTAAGGGGTCTCTGGGTGCTTTAGGTACTCCCTAAGGGGTCTCTGGGTGCTTTAGGGACACCCTAAGGGGTCGCTGGGTGCTTTAGGGACTCCCTAAGGGGTCTCTGGGTTCTTCTGGGACACCCTAAGGGGTCTCTGAGGGCTCCCTAAGGGGTCTCTGGGTGTTTTACGGGGTCCCTAAGGGGTCCCTGGGTGCGTTAGGGGCTCCCTAAGTGGTCCCTGTATGCTTTAGGGGCTCCCTAAGTGGTCCCTGGGTGTTTTAGGGGCTCCCTAAGTGGTCCCTGGGTGCTCCCTATGGGGTCCCCGTGTGCTTTAGGGAGCCCCTCAGGGCTGTTTTTGGGTTGCTGGGGGGGGGGGGGGTTTCCCCTCTGTCTCTGCCCCCACCTTGCTGGGGCTGCGGCCCTCCTTGTCCCCATCCCTGTCCTTGGGGAGGGCGCTCAGCGACTGCGTCCGGCGCTTCCCAGGCCCCAGCGGCAGCGGCAGCTCCGGGGCCACGATCGACAGGAACCTGGGGGGGGGGGGGGAACACCCCAAAACCACGTTATGGGGGGGTCAAAACCCCCCCCTACCCCATAACCCCCCCCCAAAACCCCCACTCACGCGTCATCGTGGTCGCTCTCGGTCTCGCTGTCCAGGCGGGGGGGCAGGGGAGGCTCCTCCTCGGGGCCCGGGGGGGCGGCGGGGGGCGGAGCCACGGGGGGGGCGGCGGGGGGGGGGCTCTGGGGGCGGGTGGCCCCCCCACAACGCCCCGGTTCCAGCCCCGACCCCAGCTCGGGGGCAATGGCGGCAGATTCGGGGGGCTCTGGTGGTGGGGGGGAATGATGAGGGGGGATCAGACCCCCCCCCCCCTCCAATTAATGGTGTTGTTAATTGGGGGGGGGGGGGTCTCACCTTTGCTCTGATTGGCTGCCGGCGGGTGATTGACAGGCTGGTGGCCCTGGGGGGGCTGCGGGGAGACATCGGGCTGGGAGGGGGCCAGGAAGGGCACGAGCGAGTGCCAGGGGAACACGGCCACGGAGCGAGGCTCCACGTTGGTCCACACTGCGGGAACACGGCAAGACACACGTGGGACACGCGTGGGACACGCTATGAAATGCGTGGGACACGCTATGACACGGTATAACACACGTGGGACACACAATGACACACGTGGGACACGCTATGACACACGTGGGACACGCTATGACACACGTGGGACACGCTATGACACACGTGGGACACGCGTGGGACACGCTATGACACACACAGGACACGCTATGACATGCTATGACAGGCGTGGGACACGCTATGACACGGTATAACACACGTGGGACACACAATGACAGGCGTGGGACACGCTATGACACGGTATAACACACGTGGGACACACAATGACACACGTGGGACACGCTATGACATGGTATAACACACGTGGGACACGCTATGACACACACGGGACACGCTATGACACGGTATGACATGCATGGGATATGCTATGACACACGTGGGACACGCTATGACATGCTATGACATGCGTGGGACACGCTATGACACGGTATAACACACGTGGGACACGCTATGACACACGCTATGACACGGTATAACACGCGTGGGACACACAATGACACACGTGGGACACGCTGACACACGTGGGACACACGCGGGACACGCTATGACATGGTATAACACACGTGGGACACGCTATGACACACACGGGACACGCTATGACACAGTATGACATGCATGGGATATGCTATGACACACGTGGGACACGCTATGACATGCTATGACATGCGTGGGACACGCTATGACATGGTATAACACACGTGGGACACGCTATGACACACGTGGGACACGCTATGACACGGTATAACACGCGTGGACACACAATGACACGTGTGGGACACGCTATGATACGGTATAACACATGTGGGACATGCTATGACATGGTATAACACACGTGGGACACACTATGACTCGGTATAACACATGTGGGACACGCTATGACACGCGTGGGACACACTATGACATGGTATAACACACGTGGGACACGCTATGACACACGTGGGACATGCTATGACACGGTACAACACAAGTGGGACACGCTATGACACACGTGGGACACACTATGACATGTATAACACACGTGGGACATGCTATGACACACATGGGACACGCTATGACATGCGTGGGACACGCTATGACGCAGTATAACACATGTAGGACACACTATGACACATGTGGGACATGCTATGACATGCTTGGGACACGCTATGACACGCATGGGACAAGCTATGACATGGTATAACACACATGGACACACTATGACAGGCATGGGACACGCTATGACATGGTATAACACATGTGGGACACACTATGACACACGTGGGACAAGCTTGGGACACGCTGTGACATGCATGGGGAGCTCTATGACATGCTATGACACACGTAGGGCACACTATGACATACTATGACACACAAGATGCATGCTATGACACACGTGGGACACCCTATGACACGCACGGGACACGCTATGAAACGCATAGGACACGCTATGACACGCGTGGGGCACGCTATGACACACTAGAACACGTGGGACAAGCTATGACACACGTGGGACATGCTATGACACACGTGGGACACGCTATGACACGCACGGGACATGCTATGACATGCATGGGACACGCTATGACATGCGTGGGGCACGCTATGACACACTAGAACACGTGGGACAAGCTATGACACACGTGGGACATGCTTTGACACGTGTGGGATGCACTATGACACGCGGGACAACCCATGGCACACGTAGGACACCCTATGACATGCGTGGGGCACGCTATGACACGCGTGGGGCATGTGGGACAAGCTTGGGACATGCTATGACACACGTAGGACACCCTATGACACGAAAGGGACACGCTGTGACATGCGTGAGACACGCTATGACACTCACGGGACATGCTGTGACATGCATGGGGCACACTATTCCACATGTGGGGCACACTATGACATGCTGTAACACAAGTGGGGCACGCTATGACACGTGTGGGGCACGCATTGACAGGCGTTGGGCACACTAAGACACGCATGGGACACGCAAGCTGCACGCTATGACACACCTGGGACACACAGTAACACGTGTGGGGCACGCTATGACACTCGTGGGGCAAGCCATGACGTGTGGGGCACGCATGGGACACACACGCCCCACCCCCCGGGTGCAAACCGCGCCCCCCCGTCCAAGCCCCTCCCACCGGCCCCAGGCCACACCCTCATAGGTCGAGCCCTGACTCAAAGCCCCTCTCCCAGTCAAAACCACGCCCACCAGACGCAGGCCCCTCCCCCTCCCTTGTGGCCCCGCCCTCTGTGCCTGTCCTAGAACCAGGTAACACGGCAAGAGCATGGCTACATGTAACATGTGAGCGCTGCCACATACGTGTAACATGTGAAGCACCATTACACGCCTGTTCTGAGTCTATGTAACACACCAAGAGCACGGCTACATGTAACATGTGAGGATTGTTACACATGTGTAACATGTGAAGCACCATTACACGCCTGTTCTATGTAACATGCCAACAGCATGACTACAAGTAATATGTGAGAGTTGCTACATATGTGTAATATGTGAAACAGCACTATACGCCTATTCTGTGTCTATGTAACACGCCAAGAGCATGGATACAGGTAACATGTGAGCGTTGCTACACATGTGTAGCATGTGAAGCAGCATTACACACCTGTTCTATGCAACACGCCAAGAGCATGGCTACATGTAACATGTGAAGATTGCTACACACGTGTAACATGTGAAGCATCATGATGCGCCTGTTGTGTCTATGTAACACGCCAAGAGCATGGCTACATGTAATATGTGAGCACTGCTACACATGTGTAACGTGAAGCACCATTACACACCGGTTCTGAGTCTATGTAACACGCCAAGAGCATGGCTACATGTAACATGTGAGGATTGCTACACACGTGTAACATGTGAAGCATCATTATGCACCTCTTGTGTCTATGTAACACGCCAAGAGCATGGCTACATGTAATATGTGAACACTGCTACATACGTGTAACATGCGAAGCACCATTACATACCTGTTCTGAGTCTATGTAACATAGCAAGAGCACGGCTACATGTAACATGTGAGGATTGTTACACATGTGTAACATGTGAAGCACCATTACACACCTGTTCTGTGTCTATGTAACATGCCAAGAGCATGGCTACACGTAACGTGAGCGTTGCTACACACGTGTAACATGTGAAGCACCATTACACACCTGTTCTGAGTCTATGCAACACGCCAAGAGCATGGCTACCTGTAACATGCGAGCATTGCTACACATGTGTAACATGTGAAGCACCATTACGTGCCTGTTCTATGCAACACGCCAAGAGCATGGATACACGTAACATGTGAGGATTGCTACACACGTGTAACATGTGAAGCACCATTATGCACCTGTTGTGTCTATGTAACACGCCAAGAGCATGGCTACACGTAACATGTGAGCATTGCTACACATGTGTAACATGTGAAGCACCATTGCACACCTGTTCTATGCAACACGCCAAGAGCATGGCTACATGTAACACGTGAGCATTGCTACACATGAGTAACGTGAAGCACCATTACATACCTGTTCTATGTAACTTGGCAAGAGCATGGCTACATGTAATATGTGAGCACTGCTACATACGTGTAATATGTGAAGCACTATTACACACGTGTTCTGTGTCTATGTAACACGCCAAGAGCATGGCTACACATAACATTTGAGCGTTGCTACACATGTGTAACATGTGAAGCACCATTACACGCCTGTTTTATGCAACACGCCAAGAGCATGGCTACATGTAATATGTGAGGATTGCTACATGTGTAACTCGAAGCACCATTACGCGCCTAGTCTGTGTCGATGTAACATGCCAAGAGCTTCTCTACACATAACATGTGAGCGTTGCTACACACGTGTAACATGTGAGGCACCATTACACACATGTTGTGAGTTGATATAACATGCCAAGAGCTTCTCTACACGTAACATGTGAAGCACCATTACACATTTGTTCTGTGTCTATGTAACACGCCAAGAGCTTCTCTGTATGTAACGTGAGCGTTGCTACACACATGTAACACGTGAAGCACCATTATACACCTGCTCTGAGTCTATGTAAAACGCTAAGAGCTTCCCTACATGTAACATGTGAGCGTTATGCACGTGTGGGATACATGAAGCATCACTACATGCATGGAGCCCATGAGACACGGCTCCATGCATGTCCTAGAACCACGTAACATGCCAGAAGCTTCACTACATACAACACACATGAAGCATCTCTACATACATGTTGCAACTCATCTGCATGCCGAGGCATTGTTACACGTGACATATGAGGCACTACATGTAACATGTGAAGCATCACCACATGCATGTCACAGCTGTGTGCAGCATCATTACATGTGTGCAACACAGGAAGCATCAGAGCATTGCTACATGCATACAAGAAGCATCTCCACATCCATGTGACACATCAAGTCACACGTGTGCGCCACATGTTGCACACCAGGAACATCCCTACATGCGTGACATGGAGCATCCCCACATGTGCATCCCATGAGAGCGCAACACGTGCGTAACACGGAGCCTCACAACACATGCAACGTGGAGCAGTCCTACAGGCGTGTGCCATGGCCATACAACAAGTCAGGAGCAACACACATGTAGCGTGGAACATCCCTAGATATGTGCAACACAGACCACGCACCCACATAGAACACGCCAGGAGCAACACAACACATATGTAACGCAGAGCATCCCTACACACACGTGTGCAGCAGCCATCCAGCATGCCAAGAGCAACATGGATACAACATGGAGCATCCCTACACGTGTGTCCTGTAGCTACAGAACATGCCAGGAGCAACAGAACACAGGTGCAACACGGAGCATCCCCACATGGGACACAGAGCATCCCTACACACGCGTTCTGGAGCACGCCCTACAGCATGCCAGGAGCATCCCCTACACGTGTGCATCCTAACACA